AAATTTATTGAAATTTTCAAATAAAGAGCAGGAAGTTTTTTTTTAACTTCCCGTAGGGTAAGTTATTGTAATGAGCCGAAAATCGAAATTGAACATTTTTACATTTCTCGACGTTTTGAAGGTTTCTGAACATTTTGGCATACCTCAGAAAAAAATGATGAGTGTGTGTATGTATGTAAGGATACAATTTTTCGGTCACGTTTTCGAGCGCACGGATCAACGGATTTAAATGGTTCAAAAACATTCGATTCCTATTGATAAGGGGATGTGCTGATTAGTTTTTGGCAAAGGCAGGTCCAGCAGTTACGGAGATAAAGAGCAAAGAGTACTGAAAATAGAAATCGAGTTTTTAAGAGAACAGAGCATCCGATTTGAATGATCTAAAAACATTCAATTAGTAATTATTGGGAGAAGTGTTTATTATATTTTGGCAAAGGCAGGCCCATCCATTTCGAAGATACGGAGGTAAATGTGCAAAAAATGACAGTTTTTGAGATAACTAAGCGTCCGATTTAAATGATTCAAAGAACTTTCTGCTTGTCTTAACAAAATAATTGATTTTGGAAAACAAAAATTGTTTCAACTTTTTTTTGCAATTTTTTTTTTTTTCAAAACAATTTTTTTGTATATCGAGAATAACTTAGATTTTATTTTTAATTCTGACTATAGTTCTAATATACTTTAAACAAATAATTTCAACTTTGCGATTCAGTTTATATAATTCTTATAAATATTAGACAATGTTACATTATTTGTAATAATCTATTTGAAAACATTCAATATTCCTCGAACATTTCGTTACGGTACGGGAAGTTTCAGCAATTTGCCTTAAGGCACGATGCCATACACCCCACTAGTTAATTTTAATTTTCGGTACGGGAAGTTCTAGCAATTTGCCTTAAGGCACGATGCCATACACCAGTAGTCGAACCTATTATCGTCTGAAGAAGAATTTATATGCTAGTAGTTTCGAAGATTATTTTTTATGTATATAAAATATGTGTATATACAATATAGATATATGTCAGCCCCATTTCTATTTCTCATTTGTTCTTAACTAACCTTTCTCTGCGCGTCCATGTGTGTTCTCTATCAACAATGAGAGAACTACTTATTCAGCCGTTAAGTGGCGATTGGAGATCTGAGATCGGCACGGACTCGGTGACTGACGTTTGCAATTTCTAATGGTGCTGAGGCACTCCCAATAACGTTTGTAGCGATAATTGTGGAATAAATATAATCTAAAATTTTATTAATTAAAACCAAACATTGCTTTTACACTTCACCAAACCACCACTTGCAATTTACTACGCGTATTGTAGAGGAAGTTATTCGAAAACGTTTGTTCTTTGTACAATGTTGCAATAGAAACGGATAATAGAATAAGTATAGCACCCTTTGTGAATACATATATTTTGCGTTATGGGGAAAACAGATGATGCATCTATTTTTAATACTATAACCAAGTCCTTTTGCATGTTGTTTTACATGATTTATCTTTGTACGAGAGCTCACAAACAGCCCTTTAATAAAAACGTTTAAAATCAGATACCCAGAAATGGCGATTTGTGGCATATGTCAATTTTTCCTAAAAACTTTTGTTCTTTTTTGTCCCATCTCAACAGTTGATATTGTACAAGTAATTAATGTAAGGACGATGGTACGTTGTTACAAAAAACTTGCCGATTCCGTGTAAATCATATTAGATAAGTTTTTTTTGGCACAAGGTTCAACAATGACGCGCTACAAGAAATTATAACTGCGATCTAAATTTGTGAATTTATTTTAAAGATAGACGAAATCATATGCATGTTTATTAAAATCTGAAGTAATTGTTTTTAATTATCGTTGAAACTTGCACACTTTTCAATCTTGACGAATTTATATTTCGAGATTGTAGTGACAAAACATTTGCAGTATATGCTAAAAAAAATATTTTATATGCTCGTGGTGCTCAAATAACAGCTATTATTGGTTATATTTTCATATTTTTTAAATTGAGGTACTAAGTCAAATGAAATGAATTTAATATGGCAACAGAAAATATAAGAACTGTATGGGTAGAAACTCGAACGACTAACAATGAGCGTTATATATAATTTATAATTTACGTTTTCAAATTCTTGGATATGAAAATGTGTTGAAATTAATATTTATTTTTTTTGAAATGTATAGCTTGATACTTGCTTCAAGATTATTTATAATATAACGAAAAATAGATTTTACTATAAGTTGAACTTCACTTATTTGATTATATCAATATTTTATTTTATTTAAAAAAAATGAATCACATATTTATTATCATTGTCATATAGATGTATTTATGTACAGACAATATTGTAATATGCGTTCCAAATAGTGAAAATTTTGGCTTCCGTGAAAATTTTGGCTTCCGTATAAAACCACCTCTACATATTTGTAGATACGTTTTAGTATACATTGCAAATAGTATAAATTTTGGGTTCAGTTTAAAATATCAGCGTATTGACTAACGTATTTGATACTGTTCTGGCACTTTGTTTCTGTCTAATTGATAATATATTTCTAAAATATTGTATTAACAAAATGGTAGTTGTAATTATAACATACATTAAAGCAAAAGACCCCTGAATTTGATTCACCATTGTAATTTTTACACTGAAAATGATGACTTTTGACAAGTACTTTATTACGATTACTAGGTTTTTATATACCTTCATTAAATGGAATGCTTGCTAGGATCGTTTGTACTATATTAGATTTACTTTCGTGATTGTTTTAAAATCTTGTTTTAAAAATGTCTGACATAAGTTCTATAATTTTCATTACTTAAACAAAATTAATGTTCTGGTTAGTTTTTTGGTTGTTTTCGAAATGGTAACATAAAATGTAATTGATTTTGTATTGGTGTTTGTTTGCTAATTTGTCGCTAATTTGTTATAAAATTCAACACAGATAAGCTTACAAATGAAACAATGCAGCTCTTTTTCGGACCGATTGTCGTTCTGAAATAATACTCACATACAGTAAGTTTGTCAATAAATGTTTAGCAATTCTTCTTTATAACACCATTCATAATTATGTTAGTTTATAAGCATTGTCCCTCTACAAAATTGTTACCAATTAGATATTAAAAACTACCATTGTAGTGTTATCGTCTCATTACAAAGTTTGTTTTAGCGTTTGGAAGAAGCATGTCCATTTCTGACGTATATACTGTGTTCCATAGTTTTAAACGTTCATTGTTATAGCGATACGCATTTTAACTAGACGGTCTTGCGAATATTAGTTATTAACAAATATAATGTTTTGGAGAATTCGCGATTAATTTATGATATGGACCGATTTGTTTTGTGAGCTCATCCGCTTTATTTGAATGCAACACAGGCAGTGACTGTTTTATTCAACAGGTAACAAATTTGTTCGCATGTTCTGTTGATAGCAAACATTTTTTAAGCTTGTTTTAAAAATTATTAATATTTTTTCGTGAATTTGCGAATTTGTTCGCAAGTTTTTAGGACACCTTTAATTTAACTTCAATGTAAATTGTTGTTAACTTTACTTGATATCTCATAAAAGCGTTTTTAACTGACTGGATTTTGGTTAAGTTTACATTTTTAGGTGAGTTTTGCATTTAATCTAATTTATTGTATAAATATAAGATTTTTTCTATATTAACCCCCTTTTTAATTTGACGATTGGGCTGCAAAATACTTCAAATATGTATGAATGTCGACAAAACTATCAACATATATATATAAATAAATTTCCTTGAATTTCCTTGCTCCCAGGGGCTCAAATGGTTCCAAATAGTTAAAAAACAATTCTCTGAAAGTTTTAGCTCTTAATATTAACGTTTAGATAGAGCGCAATTCAATCAAAGTTTTGTATGGAAATAGCATGGAAAAATTTTCAAAAATTTTAAAAATGTTTTTTATATGTTACTTAGCGAACAAATGAATGAATAAAACTCATTCATTTGTCGCTAAGTTATACCTAAAACATTTTTTTTAAATTCTCAAACATTTTTCCATGCTCTTTCCATACGAAGTTTGATTAAATTGCGCTCTATCTAAACGTTAATATTAAGATCTAAAACTTTCAAGAATTGTTTTTTATCTATTTGGAACCATTTGAGCCCCTGGGAGCAAGAAAATTCGAAAATGACCGTTTTAAGGACCACCCTAATGTATATATATATATTGAAATATGTGAGTTTGGTGTTTATATATATTTTGATGAGTTATTTAGAATCGGGCAGTAACACCAAGTAAAAAAACTAAAGTAATTTTGAAATACTTCATTTATCCATACGTTTCGGTCTTCATCGAGACCGTCATTCAGTGGAAAAAAGAAAATTAATTATACAAAAATACACTACACTATTACACTGTGTTAAACCAAGCTATTAATAACTGGGACATTTAAACTAATTATTTTTGACAGTTTTTGGTTACATTCTAGTGTGTACAGATCTACTAACGTCTAAATACTTTAGTATTTTGAGCATATTACACTATAACCATATAAAACTTCATATTCACTCAAATCTTCCGATAAAGTAATTCTAAGTAAAAGGCATTTAATTATTCTTGTAGTTCAAGTTTAAAGCTTATGAAATCTTTTTACAAATTTTGATGAATGCAGTGCCATTCTCACATCTAATATTACAATGTATTAAGTATAAATACATATATTTGAATGAATGCATGAATTCCTTTCTTTTTCTTATCCCAATTGTAAATCATTAAGCACGCACGTATTTTATAAAACTATTGAAAATATTATAAAGTAATCGGAACTCAAATAATATCTTTATGATTTATGAAACATATCTTGTACAGCAATCTAGCAACAAATAGAATCAGTATTTATAATTATTATTTTTATTTTATTTTTTTCAAAAAATATTCGGTATTTGAGTTATTCATACAACTGAAAAAATACAGTTTTTGTATTCGAAAATTGTTTGTATTTACTTAGTAATCTGAGTACTTATTCCGAGTGATTGAAATTTTTAGTGAGGCAGCGCAAACAGAAACCGCCGCGTCTAAAAGGGGCTCATTTCGCGGTGACACGCCGCTTAGCCTAAGTTCGAAGCTTCGAACATCCTTTGACGCCTCGACGAATGTTATCGGCGGCCAAGGAGGCAACGAAAGCGAGCCAACGAACGCGAATAACGGCCACGTTATCCCGATCTCAGGCTTCCAGAAGGTGCCTCAATCTAAGTCAGTGCCAATACCGCCTAAGAAATTGCCGCCGGTGGAACAAGGATCTGAGCATATGTCAAGAATGACGCCTAGACGTATCATGATGCACAGCAAAGTCAACAAGGAACGGTTAGTAGATTGGTTAATTTATTAGTGTTTAAGAACATGATCAAATTTTACATTTTATTTGTTGCTATTTAACAATTTGATGGTTCTTCCTAACGTTAGAATCTACTTTTATTTCCAATGAAAAATATTTTACTTTGACTTTGGTTTTACGTACAGAAATTCGAATTATTGAATTACTTAAACCGAGTCATCTATTTCTGGGCCATATAATAGTTCTTCAGTCATTGTGCAAGTTTCCAAAATTCTCATTTGCTGTTGCCTACGAAGCATTCTGGGCCCCTTTAGTGTTCTCGTTGGCGCGCTGATCTGCCACTTTCACACGTGCAGCATCCTATTTTTTAACATGCCAATGGGAATTATACCCACAATTAGGTCCTAGCGTATCCATAATCAATAACAATGATTATGTATATGTATTCAGCAATTTGTACGATAGTAGAACTAGTATTCACGGTTTTCAGGCATATTTTTTTACACTAGTTGGTTGAAGCGTTTAATTTTATCTGATTATGGATTCAATCTTGAACTACACATCTTGAAAGTAAATTATCATTGCTGAGATCATCGTAAAACATCAGGATTTGAGGGAGAATAATCTTGAGTATAAATATCGAGCTCTCCACTTGCGTCAACGCGCTGCTAAAAGTCCGATAATTCAAAAAGTAATCATCGGATCAACTTGAAATTTTCAGAGAACATTTTCAAGATATTACACTTAATGAAAATGCAAAAAAAATAAAAATTGATTTTTCAAAAATTCCAAGTACCCCTAACCCCTTAAGTACTTGATTTTATTTTAATACGTTAGGGATTTTCATTATAGGTCAGTTACATTATTATTTCATGCATAAAATAAACTATGGATTAATATTTAATAAATGGGAATATGTATCGTATGCCTATTTTAGGTATAAAGTAAAAATATGTTCTTAAATTATAGTTTATATTGAAGAATGATATACAAAACGAAATTTGAAATAACGTTCTACTATAAATTTAACTAATAATACTTACAACTATATATACCATATATTGTTTTAATCCAATTATTTTCCATAGATTCATTTTACTTGTTTATTCGCAGCAACCAAATTCTTAAAGATATTTGACATGTAGATAGTGTTTTGTTTGTTTTCTTTTGCAAATACATTTTATGCATTTTTTGTTCATCATGTTTTACTATTTTTTGTATATTAAAAGTTTTACTATAATGTTTAGATATCTAAGTATCCACAAGTGGTTTTCTTAAAAGGTAGGATTTTTATAAAAAAAAGTAAATTAATGTCTCAATAAATACAAATTGAGTTCTTGTGTCCATTTCATTTCATTTCACGTTCAAGGCGTTTTTTCCAGTGAATTATCTTGAATATAGTTTTTCTTCAAGATCTAGAACATTTATATTGTGTAATAAATCTCGTAAATAAAACCTTATATAAAATGTGACTAGAAGTACTGAAAGAAATACATATTTAGAACTATCACGGATGTGTTTTAAGTTATGAGATACTTAGAGCCATATCTCATCAAAAAATTGTTATACCGATAATATTTTAAGATTTTTATTGAAATTGTACTTATATAATTTTTGGTCATAGCCTATTTTTCCCAGACGAAAATTTTCTATTTGAAAGAAAAAGTTATCACACCGATAATTTGTCAAAAATTTCATAGGAATCATAGACAATTATTTTTTACTTGGCGAATTTTTGTGTCATTTTTGAACTTCGTATTTTTCTATAATTTCAGACTCAACTCACGGAATCCAACACGTCAACGCAAAATCGGGACAGTAACGAGCCCGATAGTGACGGCACCTCCATGTGAGCTTACCTCTTCACCTTCAGTTAGTTCCATCAATGACTTAACAGCAATAAAGCCCCTTTCCAGTCCAACTATTAACGGTTCTCATAACAGCGTAGAATCAGACTCCAAATCAATTGCTGATTACTTATCCCGAAATTCTTCCATAGATTTAGGCCAGAAAGAAAACTCCAAGTCCGAAGTGGTCACGCCAGCCCAAGAGGCTTTGCCAGATATTAGGGAATTAGAAAATTTAAATAATAAACCAGAATTTGATGTATTCGAAAATAAGTCGGATGATAGCAATATTGACACTGGCGGTATCGAGTTATCATCAGTCTCTTCACCAAAAGAACGTTTCTCTCCTGATAACTCAAAAAATTTAAAAGGAAGCAAAACTAAGACTGTGAAGATTAATGAGAATCCTGTGAATATAATTGATAAGTCACTTGTCAATGTTGTTGATGATACCGAAAATACAGATTCTGATACGAATGTCAGTTTGATATTACCCAAAGGAAAGATAAGATTTGTTAGGAAGAGTCAAGAGAATAGTGTATTAAGCGTAATATATACAAAATCGGAACCTACCTCTGACCGGTCCTCAACTATGGCCGATAAAAAGAGCGATACATCAAGAACTATCGATACTGCGAAGGATACAGATCAGGACGAAAATATTGAAATATTAGGAACAGATACGGAGCAATACAGGGAATATGAACACCATACAGAAATTATACCGGATCATTACTCTGACAACGATGAAAACATTATCTATGGGCCAATCTATGATTCCGAAAAATTTGAGGAGCAGAATATAGAATTGCCGAAAGACGATGATGACGACGAACCAATTGGTGTGTCACCTTGTGGAAGATTTTTTAAATATGACAAAGAAGTTGGCAGAGGTTCTTTCAAAACTGTCTATAGAGGTCTGGATACGCAAACTGGTGTAGCTGTAGCTTGGTGTGAACTCTTGGTCAGTAATATATTTATATATAACAGTTGTATTTTGTCTTTAAGCCATCACACTTAATCTATTCTGTAACAGGAGAAAAAACTGAACAAAACGGAGAGGATAAGATTCCGAGAGGAGGCAGAGATGTTGAAAAATTTACAGCATCCTAATATTGTGCGCTTCTACAACTATTGGGAATCTACATTGGGAAAAAAGAAAAACATTGTTTTAGTTACAGAATTGATGTTGTCTGGCACACTTAAAGCGTAAGTTCAAAAAATATTTAAAAACAAAGTTTATTTTTTTGTTTTACTATCTATATGTATGTATTATTTTACATAATTAATATTCAGATGTTATTTCGCGCTTTATAACAATTGAACAAGGCCGTTTTATAGTTTGAACAATATAATGCAGGTATCTTCGACGTTTCAAGAAAATCAACCCAAAAGTACTAAAATCTTGGTGCCGGCAGATTTTGAAAGGACTCAATTTTCTTCATTCGCGATCAACTCCTATAATACATCGTGATTTGAAATGTGATAATATTTTTATAACTGGGACTACGGGCAGTGTGAAAATTGGAGACTTGGGTCTTGCTACATTAAAGAACAGAAGTTTTGCTAAATCGGTTATAGGTAACTTATTTATATTTATTTATTATAATTCACAATGAAGATTTTGAGCATTAATAATTGTAAATCTATTTATTAATGATTTGGTAGGTACTCCTGAATTTATGGCTCCTGAGATGTATGAAGAGCATTATGATGAATCTGTAGATGTTTATGCATTTGGTATGTGTATGTTGGAAATGGCTACTTCTGAATATCCTTACAGTGAATGTTCAGGTCCTGCTCAAATTTACAAAAAAGTGATATCGGTATGAATTATACATACTACTCATATATATAATATATATATATATATATATATATATATATATATATGCACAAATATGAAACATTGTTTATTGAATTATTTCTAGGGCATTAAACCACAAAGCTTTGAAAAAGTAGAAAATGCTGAGATTCGTGATATAATTCAACAATGCATTCTTCTTAACAAAGAAGATCGGTAAGGTTTTATTACACATATATTAAAAATCAATTATAAGTATTTTTTTATTTATATTATAAAGAAGCAGTAGTTACAGTTATTTATAAAAATTACAGTCCAATGGTAAAAGAACTTCTAAATCATGACTTCTTCGGTGAAGATGTTGGTTTGAAAGTTGAAGTTGTATCAAAGGAGAATCTTGGAAGTAATTCTGAATCACGAAAAGTAGAGTTTCGTTTACGTCTTCTGGATCCTAAGAAAAGGTAATTTTATTGAAATGTTTTTACTAACAATTATTCAATTACATTGTTTTCACAGATCTTTCAAGCATAAAGAGAATGAAGCCATTCAGTTTGAAATAGACATTGATAAGGAGAATTGTGATGATGTAGCAAATGAAATGGTATATTTGAATCAAACATTCTTTAATTCATAGTATTATATATTCACAAAAATTACAAATCTTACTTCAACAGGCAAAGTCTGGATTGATTCTTGAAGATGATGCTAGGACAGTGGCTAAATTACTTAAAAATCAAATTCAAGCAATTAATAAAGAATGCGATGAAGGGGTTCCTGTTGCACCACAAACAGAAGTGATGCAAAATACAGAAGCTATTGTAACGGATACTATTAATTTGTGTATTGAAGATAATGATGATTCTAAGAGCCATTTGGAATTCAAATTAATTGGCCTTCCAGAACAAAATAATGGAGGTGTGGACAAATTAACCCAAAATCAAATGCAAGCAGTTTCTTCAATAAATCAGCACCAAAATTTTGTTGTACAACAGAATAATTTGTCTGACACAAATATGCATCAACAGATTCACCAACAGCAACAACAGCAGCAACAGCAGCAACAACAGCAGCAGCAGCAACAACATCAACTACAAAATCAACAGCACCTTCAGCAACAGCAGCACCAATGTGTAACAGCACAACCTCAAGACAACCAGATAATTCAACATTTGCCTTCTTCACAGCAAGTTAAGTTTAACAGTTCGGATGTAGTCCAATCTATGTCTCAACATTATAATGTAATTCAACCGGATCAACAAACGCAGAAAGTGCAGTACAATTCTCAGCATTCAATAGATACTCATATGCCACAGCATTATACTAATTCACTTAATAATCAACAGTCGACATCACAGACAATTATTCAGCAGAATCAAGATCAAATGCAGTTTTTGCCTCCAAGCCAAGTGGGTTCTCAGAATAATGTAGTGGTCAACCAAGCGTTGCCAGATATATCCAACACATCACAACAAACTGTAGTAGCTCAAAACCATGGACAGTACATTTCTACTCTTCAATCGAATACACAGCAAAATAATACATTATTGAATCATTCAAACTCGGAAATAACTAATACACAAGTATCAGTTCAACAGCATAATTTACAGATGAACCAACAGGCACAGTTTATGGCTGCTTCGCAATCTATGAATAATCAACAAAGTAACATGGTTATGAGCCAATCTGAAATTGGTACCCTGCAACAACCAACTTTGTCACAAAGCCAGTCAATGCCTCAACAAGCACAGTATTTACAATCACAACAAAAGTCCAGCCAACAAAATACCAGTATTCAGAATCAAACAGTATGTGAAATGAATGGCATTCCACAACAAAGCAGTGTTCAGCAAGTTCATTACATATCTCAACAACAACCTCAACTAACTAATCTTCCATCTTTAACTAATACTCAACTATGTAGTGGTCAAATTAATATGATGAATTTGTCAGATGGGTCTAACGTACATATGCCAAATCAACAAGCACCAATTCAACATACTCAGTACATATCAAATCAACAGTCCACTCAGCCCACTCAGCCCGCTCAACAACAGCCAACTGGTTCTGGTTTCTCTGATGTTCAAGTGTCTATGCACCAAAATCAAGTTCCAATACAGCAGTACATAACACACCAAATATCTAATTGTCATCAAAATGCAGTGATGAATCAACCAACTGTTGGAACAGATGTGAAAAATATTAATCAAAGCATATCTCAAAATCAAAGTAGTTTGCAACAGAATCCTTATATTCAAAGCAATACTAACCAGAATAATGTAATTTTGGCACAACAATCTTCAGATATGGGAAATATACAACAGACTAAGCCATTAATGCAGCAACCTCAGTTTATGCCATCTCAACAAACCAGTCAGCAACTGCCATCCATGATTTCAACTGTTTCTGATATGTCTACTGTACAACAAAACATAGCCCCAAATTATATTCCTGTTCAGCAATCAGTTCCGCAACAAAGCAATATTGTTATGAATCAAACTATACCCGACCTAAGCAATGTCCAGCAAAATATGCCTCCACACAGTCAATATTTGCCTGTGAAAGTCACTAACATTCACAATAATAATGTTCAGGATAATCATGTTCAGACAGTTATTCCAATATCAAATGAAGCAATGACTATGCATCAGCAAATTGTCAATCAAAATTATTCACAGACAGGTATGATACAGCAGAATAACATTCAGAATATGCAGCCAAACATGGAAATGCAACCGAGTAATAACCTTCAATATCACAATGTTCAACTTAACCAACAATATAATGTTCCTGCCACATTGTCAAACTCGCAGCTTCATCAAAATCATCAAGGATCACCAAATAAAATTTTGAATACACATAGCATGATGAATAATTTGAGTTCTGATACTAATAATGATGCACAATATGCAAATTACAATTATAATCAACCAATAATAAATACTCAGAACAATTTAATAGACAACATGCAATCTCAAGTTGGTATTCAACCAATAATATCCAATCAGCAACATGCACAAGTATTTATCCAACAGCAAGGATCGTCACATCATGAACAAGCCCATTCTAGTCAACAAATACATAAAAATGTTGTCGACAATAGCAGTCAATATTCTGCACAGTTTTCTCCACAACATAAAGCACCACTACCAATGAATTTAGAGCAGAATGCTTCTTATATGCCCTGTATTAATAAAGAAGAAGAACATGCTGGTATTAATCAAACTGAATTATTATCAGAGAAGTCACCACAGCAAAGTTTAAATTTAATACCACAAGCTCATGGAATAATGTCGCCTGAGGATGCAGTTGCAAGGAATTGTATGATGCAAGAAATACAAGCTTCCACATCCCAAGCTCAGAATCCAATGTTTACACATTCCCATCACATTGTATCATCAAATCAGAATCAACAACAAATGGTCACACATGATGATCACCAGATTTACATGAACAATCAACAGAATCTTGTATCTCAACACCCACAGCAGCAGATTTCTGCTCAAGAAAAAATGGAAGTTCAGCCGTCGCAAATAGGAATACAGGTAAATGCAAACCATGTTATGCACTCGCAGGTACAATTCACAAATCAGTTACAATCATCACAATCAATGCGGCAACAAAACAGCCAGCAAACTGTTAGTAGTGGTCCATTTACCATGCCTGTTCAGCAATCATCCCATTCTCAACAAGCTCATTATGTTGTCACTCAGCCATACGCTGCTCAATCTCATCAGCATTATCAGATAATTCAAAAACAACAAGAATACAAGGCATATCAGCCCGTTCAAAAAATGCAGAGCATGTCGCATAGTGGTAATTCACTTGAAGATAACAATAGCATTAGTCAATATTGTCATGGACATCCAAGTGTTATTAATCCTCAGCATGCTTTAACCAATACTTACCAAACGCATTTACAGGATGCAAATGTTAATCAGCAGTTCAGCACTTTGGTTTACGAACAACAGAACTCTGGAAAAATCCAGCAAGCACAGCACCAATCTGCTTTACATAACAATATAATTCCCATTTCTCAACAGCAATTGTCAAATATGCATGCTGATGGAATGCAACATCATATATTCAGTTCTCATCAATGTGCTAATAATGTTAACGCTTTACCAAACATTTCTGATCATCATAATTTTGCTTCGAATCAACATCAGCTGCACATGCATGGCTTTCAGCACCAGCAGTGCCAGGGTTCATCATCACCTCATAAATTGCAATCGCAATCATCGGCTCTTGGGAATGCTCAAAGTGCTCATAACACTATAATTCAACCGTCTGTTCAGCATTATTTGGTTCAAAATTCTCATTTAACATCCACTTGCCAATTAAAGGAATCATTACATCAAAATTCCAATGCTATATTACAGCAGCATAATGCTCCGATCACGAGCACGTATCAAGTTCAACAAGTCGACTATATTCAGTTAAATATGACTAATGAAATTCAAAGACACGATCAAATTTATTCTTCAAACTTACCTATTTCATCTAAACAGTCGATTGCGACTATAAACCTAAAACCATGTGATGTCAACACATTGAATCTGACCTCTCAGTCATCTGAAGAGAAATTAATTGATAAACAATCTTTGGACAATCAAAGAAATAAGAATGTCCAAGACGCTTGTACATCTTATGATTATATACAAACAGCAAATAACATCTCTTCGGATTACGTCACACATATTGACGGACCTCATCCTTCTATGTATAGTAAAGAACAATTAATATCAAAAGACAATGCAACTAATCTGCCTGCGAATCACTTTCTATCTCCAAACAATGAATTGGCAACGTCCGTGTCGTATACGCAGCAGGTTACGAATGGTCATTATAATCAGGTGGCTCAGCAAATAAATAATCCTTCAAAACATATATATACTTCTCAATGTAGCGCCGAGCAATTGAATTCGAATTTTATTCCTATTATGACATCACAAGTGCCGTCATATACTTCGTTATTGAATAATCAGTCGCATAACATGATACCTGCTCAAGAGCAATTGTATTACACGCAACCATCAAATGAAAGCAATACAGTTATTTGCAAATCGCTACACGAATCACAACCGATCATGTCTCAAGTTCCATTGAATGATTTCAACTTGAGACAAAAATTGGTATATTCTCAGGAGCCGATAAATGGCGATGGCAAAGCATTTAAAGAACAACAGAACGGACCTCTCATTGACGAATCGCATTATAATAATTTACCCATCGATTACCAACAGCAACCGGTATTGGATAGTAGTATGCAGAGCAATTCATTACCCCAGACGATTCTCCAAAATAATCATGATGAATCGAATCAGGTGTCAAGCACAATGACTCCACATACTGGTGAACTTAATGATTTTAATAACAAGGACTTGATGCCGAAACAATCGCAAGACTCGAATGAAGGAAGCAATCAAGATAATGAAGAACACTGCGCCGACAGCAACAATTCCGCATTAGTTGACGGTGAGATGACCGAATCGCAACAGAATACTGCTAATAAATTAAAAAAGAAATCGAATAAAAAGCGGTTTCTTAAAAACATCGAGCGATGTCCACGCTTGTCGGTCACCAAGTTAATTGAAAATTCCACAAGTATCGAGTGCCAGTTACAAACTAAACGTAAAACAGTCAAGTTTGAGTTTGATTATTCGGATTTCAACGCTTGTGAAATTGCTAATAAATTAGTGAGTATATTTTTATGTTGATTTGTTTTACATAATTGGCTTAAACTAGGTTTTTTTGCTGACCTTATAATCACTTTTCAGGTTGCTGCAAACCTACTACCAGAAAATCAAGTTGATATATTTGTAGAGATGATATCAGACATAGGAGTGCAATTAATTGAACGTCCTACAGAGATACCAGTATTGAATAACCCTTATCATCAAACAAAGCCAAGTGGTGAAAAGGTAGATAATTCCTTTCTTTTTCATAACTGTCTCAGATCTAATACATATATATGTTATATATCTATGTGAAACCTTATTTGTATGAATAATTTCATGCTGCTTTGGATAACTTTTTAACAAATGATGAACATTTTTTATACAAACTTGTTTTACGATGCGTGTCAGGTTCGACACGGATCTTTGACAAGGCAAAGATCTTCGTTTCGATTTCATCATAGGCACCGTTCAGTAAGTTACATTTATTTTTAAACCATTCTATAGTGAGGTATTTATATAAGTATAATAATTTATCCTTTCAAAAAAAAAAAGATTTTATTCATTAATCTATCCCATAGTGCTATTAGGTCTAATAATATGCAATTCATTTAATTATAATTTTTCAGCGCGATGAGTTATCAACAATGCCCAAAATTTTTGATCCTACTATATACGGCCTCCTACCATTAGCTGCTAATGGAATGCTAAAGCGAGAGAATACGCATGATGGCGTGATTTTGGATGAAAAAGTACTGCAGCCTCAAATTCCAATTGATAAAGTAATTAAACCTGAAACTTCCTTGCTTCGAAAATCAGAAAATGTATCCAGAAAAACCAGTACAGCATCTGAATGTACATCACAGTCGGATTACACACCTGAGAACACAGTGGTAGGATTAGCTGATTTGGCTGTTTGTGATGTTGGCAATGGAGACAGTTTAGGGAAACCTGATATTGTTAAGCCAATTAATCAAGAATCAATAGCATCTACTGCTGAATCAACAGTTGGATTATCAGAGATTCCCAAACAAATATCGAATGTGGAATCAACAACAAGTCCTATATCTGATCCAAATATCATTCCGGACTCTGCTGGAAATGTTTTACCTGAGAAAACAAGTGAAACATCCGAATTGAATCAAAATGCTACTTCAGCAGGGACGAAGCCTGTAAGGAAGATTTCTCGTTTTTTGATCAGTCCAGTAGCAGAAAAAGAGAAGGAAGGTGAAACCAACGCCAACTCTGCTACAGAATTGCTTACTCAAGCTAGTAATAAAATTGAGGCCAGTATATCAAATGCCATAAATGAACCTGTGGTTCAAAAATATGAGACTTCTACAGCAACTCAAATGGGTTCTATTGGTAACCAACATGTAGAAACAATCAGTTCTGTTGATGTTTCATTAAATCAGTGCAATCAATCCATTCCTCAAGATATGGTTTCACATATTGCTGAACAAATTTCTTCTCCTGTTGAATTGAAGCCTGTAGGTCCAGAACTAATTAATACTTTGGAACAACTGAAAATTGGCCTAGAAAATATTACCCATGCACATGTTGTTCCAACAAAAACATATGGAAATGATAACTTTAGTTACTGTGTAAAGCATAATGTAAATGATCACTGTTTAGTTTCGGATGCAACTCAAACAACTGATATGGAAGCATCTTCTCACATGATTGATATCAATAATTCAGAAAATAAGATTGATGATAATATTATACAAACTTCTGATCCTGTTTGTAAATATCTAGATGATTCAAGTAATGTTGTTTCCGAATGCACTACTCTGGAGAGTGTTTCAAATACAATGGGAAGTGTCGGAAACACAACTCACAGTTCCCAACATACATCCAATTTTAATTCTCGTCGAACATCTACAGATATGAATCATATGGAATTGGCGGCCTTGCAATCTAAGAGTGTTTGCTCTACAGAACCTGCACATGCAGATTTACATAGAGTGCTTACTCAACAAAATAGCCAGGAACGTCCTGATGAAAGGTAATAAAAAATTATAAATACTTAAATAAGTTTAAATAAAGTCAATAAAAAATAATTTTATATAGACTAATATGACATTGTGAAATAATATAGCTTTTTTATCTGCATTATTTCATATATAGATATTGAATACTATTTCTCTATCACAGTACTTTAAAATTGAAAAAAGGTTATCTTTTTAAATTATCATATTACTCATATTTAATAATTTTACTTATTTAAGTTTAATTGCTGGATCACATGTTACTATCGAAGAGCTACATCAAAAATTGTCCCAACTGACAACGGCGCAACTTGAAACAAGTGTGAATTTGCCAAAATCTTCCAACGTTGATATGAGCATTGCTGAAAATAATGCAGCAACTGATGGCAGTATTCATTTATTACCAAAAACAGAAGCTGCGGGTATAACTATGATGATTAACTTAATTTTAAAATGATTGTAGATTTACTTGCAGTCACTTTAAAGCAAAGAAAGTTCAAAAAATATTTTCAATTCAATATTTTGTACTTTTGTCAATATATATATATATATATATATATATATATTTAAATTTTATTAAATTGTAGATGCAAATGCAGCGCTCATCTCAAGCATGATAAATCCTGATCATATGCAAGCAGCTAAGAAAATGTACTCTAATCAAGTGGGTGCACCAAATGCTAATTATGATGTTTACATGCAAGCATTGCAGGCAAAGTTAACTACGATATCAATGGTACTTCATTAATTAACACAGATATATTTAATTAACTTTAGCCTCTAGTAAGATCAAGATTAATATGATTCCTATTATTATTTTTTAGGGGCCACTTTCTCCACAATCGACCGTCATGTCTCCGACTTGCACACCAAGCGCTGGTAGTGGTCACTTATCTGAATTGGCCAGCCCAACTCAAGAATTAACTACAGCACCCATTTTAAATAAGATTTCTACTTCTACTTCTTACCCTGGTGGAGCTGCTGGTTTTCAACAAATGCAGTATAAGAATCAACTACAATCTGGGGAACCTATAACTAATACTTTTTCTTCAATAAGCTATATTGATAATGTTGACAGTGGTAATCATAAAACATGTACATCAGATGGCAATATTTCAAATATTGGTCACTATCAACTTTCAACTACTAATGGCCAACAGCTAACCAGCATAAAACCTAGCATTGCAGCATCACAACAGGTAAATATCTTTTATACTGTGTTGAGAATGTAATTTTTACTTTTATTTTGGCATTATTATTAAAGAGTATTAATAATTTAAATATTATTAAAGCAATCAGTGGATATACCAGACAAATCAAGAAAGCTTGTAGCTCATTTATCGGACCTAGAGCATGAGCTATCTAAAATAAATTTGAATTATCCAAGAAGTGATACTAAACAAGATAGAGAATGTCCAAAAACTCAAGCAGACATTGTTAAAAATGCTGATGCAAACATTACAAATACACCAACTCAAGAAATTTTTGAATCTCAAGTAGATCCTAAACCAAACAATACTACTACTCCAATAGATCCTATAAAAGATGATATGACTAAAATAGATCCTATACCAAATGATTCTTCTACTATGATAATTGATCAACCAGAACCCATTCCCAAAGTTAGAAAAGTTTCAAGATTTAGAGTCAGTGTAATAACTGAGCCTGATCCATCAAAATTGGATATTAAACCTGATGATTCATCAGATTCAACAAAAAATAAATCAAAGCCCAAATTATCACTAAATTTGCGAGATTGCGCTGCCTCGGATTCTAACATTAGTTGTGAAGATCTTGAAAATGATTCGAATATGCATTTATCTTTTAGCAATACTTCCTCCACACTTGGCAATGATACGCCAATGATCGATATTTTGCATCCAAATGAAAGTTCAGGTAATTTAGTCTTGTGTGTAGATCTGCTTACTTCTTTCATTTGATGTCTCACTCACAATAAATTTTATTTCTATGCATAAAAATAGACTTACAAGAAGATGTTGTACTTTTGCATATGGCAAAACCAGACTTGGAGAAAACCAAAAGTGAAATAAATCATTTAGGCAATATTCTTAATTTGGAGACTAGTGAAACTGAGCAAAATATAGATAAACAAGCAAGTGTATGTTTCAATCACCTTACATTCAAAAATATTTAAATATTGCATAACTGACATAAATGTTTTTTTTTAGGAAACATTATTGCAACTTCAGAGTTCACTCAGCTCCCTAGAACTAGATCCCCAAACTCGTCATGAATTGCAGTACCTTTTGAAGCGTCAACAAATTGAGCAGCAGGAATTGAGAAACAGACACCTACATGAATTGAAATGTTTTCACAATAGTCTTCGTGATATTAGTAAGTATTGATATCAGTTCCCTAAAATCAACATGTTACTTTATGTAAAACATGTGTTTAGAACAAGAAGCTGTTGTACCAAATCAAAGTTTGGACGAGTTGACTTATACAACTGCACCTCAAAGTCCAAAAGTAGAGTATCGCAATATATGGTCTAACACACCATCTGTTGCGATACCGAGACGTTCAGCTATGCAGTGCTGTTACTCCTATCCTGCATCTGCAATATATCGTCCTCCGGAATATATTGTGCAGAGGGAGCCTTTGAGTGAAGCCACAGTAATGCAAACGAATAGTGGTCATAACATGTCTCTCCCAAATTTAACTCATGTGAATTACGTGCAACACATTGTTCAGAACGTCCCTCCGACTCAGTTGTTGCAACACCCCCTGACTACTCAATATGTTCAGTATTCAAACATGGATAATCCATATATTCAGTACTTAGCTAAACCGAGCACGTATGTTCAATATGTCGGGCCAGCACCTTTTTATCCTTATGCTCCCCCAAAAACCGAATAATTAATCAAATTATCTATAAATTTTAGCAGTGAATGTCAAGAATTAAATTATTTAATGCAAATATTAAAGGTGTATTTTAATGATATGATGGAATGTGATATTTTATATAAAATGTAAACAAATTGTAATGAAATTTAAAGACTGAGGAAGTTATTGTTTCGAAATATTATATTGGATACTTAACAGTGGTAAAATGATTAATCTTCGGGCTGCACTGAATGGTATTTTAATGCTAAAAAATGTGGCCATTTCCCCATAATCAGTTTGCATAATAATTTAAAATAATACTTTTTGCTGTTATCAATATAAACATTCAGTAACTTCCAACACAGGCATGTTATTAACCAACCTTTGTTTGGTATTTAGATAATATAAGAAAATATATCCATAAATTTGAATAGTTGTGAAAGCAGCATAAATTCTTGTTACGCCCCTGTTATTGTTAATTTTATTTATATACTGACTAAATTAGAAAATTATATACACTTTACAAAATTGAAAGCACTCATGTATTTATGATTCTTATTGTTGTTAAGATTATTTATATCATTTTATTTTTAAATGTCTGCTTTAGGTTAATGTAATATTTTTATCATTTTAATAAAAGTTATGTTTCTAACCATACTCTTCATACTTCAGCTTCTATTATTTCAAGTCAAAACTATTTTCCTCCAATCACTCCAACGGATTTCATGATAAACAGATATCAATCATTTACAGCATTTTAATAATAAGGACAAAAAATAGTACAGAGCCAGTTAAACAAATCAATCAGAAAATTTTCTTAATTTCTCAAAAAAAAAAAAAAAAAAAAAACTAAAAGAATCACAATAGACAACAAACTTGTAAAAAAGAATCATTTAATCGTAACGTAATAGATTTGTACAAAAGAGGTAAGGTAAAAATACCCAATAAATACTTTATAATAACATATATCTATATTTACATGAATTCAATGTATAATCTGTTATTAAAAGTTTAGTCGACAATGATCTAGAATTGAAATACTTTGCTTTATTTTTTTCCAATATCAAAATCACACATACAATAATTTATTTGATTTTGATCCATATGCGTTCCCATTTGTTGCATTGGTTACAGGTCGATTCAAGTTAATTTTGTCGATAGAGTAAGTTCTCCAATTTTGATTTTGGTAAGGTAAAATTGTTTGCTTTTTCAGCTCTAATTGCGCATCAGATTTTGCCTGAGGGTAACAAATATTTGTAAACTGTAAAATAGCATTCTTCTAATACACACATACCTTATTATACATAAGAACTCCAATGATTGCAAGAAGCATTCCAAATACATTTGTTGCCGTTACAGGGTTTCCTAATATAAATAAAGAAACTGCTATAACAAATATTCTTTTTGAGGCACTTGCTACTGCATATGTTAAAGGCGTTACTAAGGATAGAACACTGAATGCTATTATATTTTGCAACCAATTCAGAATTCCGTCTAAAAATAGTAATGTTAATACTGTATAGTTTCCTTCCACCTGCGAACATAATCATATATTTAGTTTAATTACTTAAACTAATGTTGTATTGAGTAAATCTTATAACTCACCACAACAGGATGTTTAATAACATCAGAAAGATCAAATATCAGCCAAACTGGCATGAAAAGTAACAATGCAAGTCTTCCAAGCAAATGTAAGAGTTTCAAATGATGAATCCCAGTATCACGTAGTACCTTTATGAGGCAAAATTCTTTACATAGAATTGCATTTAAATCTTATTTACTTTTGAAAATGACGTACCTTTTTTGAAAAAATATTTTGCAATGAAAAACCCATGGTGGCTATTAGTGCTGTTATCAGTCCTATCATATCAAATGATATTTCAGTTATTGTAGCTATCCCGACACCCGTTATTATAGGTACAAGACTACTATAAACCTTGCAAGACTGTTTCTCATTGAACAAAATTCTTGTAAGGGCTACTGTGAACAATGGCATGGTTGCTTTCACTGCAAAGCAAAAATACATAAGGACTAGTCTTCAATTTATGCAATATGCAACTAATTTATACAGCAACAGACTAACTTGACCCAGACCTGACCTTATGTGTGAAATGTATGACATCCAGCTTAATTTCACAGCACCTTAAGGTAGCGTGTATTGAACATTTTTAAGAATTGCTCACTGCAAATAGAGGTAGAATATCATATAATTATTTGGCCCAATTTGTACTTAGGTAAGGCCGGGTGAAGACAGTATGGTGCAATATGAAATAATTGTACATTGCTCATAAATTACAAATTAGCATATTCTATATTTGATGTGTACTGCAGATCATTTGTATTTTCATTGTCAATTATTTTTTTAAAACACAGTGCCACACATATATGCATAGTATTCTATATTGGTGAGATAATAATACATTGTCTTTCTGATCAAAAGAAGCAAAGTATGAGCGCTTATAAATAAACATTGAATATATCAGTAACTATTCTGTTGTAAAGAAAAGTTACTGAAATTATTATACTGATAGTGGTAATGCAAAGAATATGGTAATAACAAAACTGAAATGTTTGTAACAAACCTGTATGGGCATATGAAACTGGCACTTTCCATATAGAAATATGTGACGAAACTGATGCTAAAAATTTTCCAAACGCCAACGGCACAATTAGTCTAAAATAGTAATTCCAACTTAAACTAGTATAATTTCTAACACCCCAAAGGTGGAAAAGGGGACCACTGTATAGAGTAATCGAAGTTAATTGAACCATCGTCACTGTCATGGGAAATGGAAAATCGTTGAGCAACATTTTTCCGATGACATTGTTGCTCGAACTGACAATGTACCATGTTGCGCATAAAAGAATTATTGTTAATACTTCTCTATTTTTCGAACGGTAACCCATTTCGTAAACAGAATTTATACGTCATCATATAAAACTATTAAAACTAGTGTCACGTCATTTCAAGTTGTGGATCTAATGCGCTTCGTACAAAGACGTAACCGAAAAACATGTCAAACCCATAAGTCAAACTAGTT